CTGAACGGAGGTTTTCTGCTTCGGACATCGCCCGAAGAGCTATGAAGGGCTGGCTGCTCCTGGTTGCTGCTTTTCTTCTCTGCCCAAGTTGCTCTTCTCAAAATGGTAAGTTAAGCAGAAGGGAAATCAAGGGGTTACTAAGGGAAGTGGTTTCTGCTGCATTCATTAAAGGAACAGTTATTTGGTAACAGGATGAATGTATTCCATTTTTTATTTTTCTCTAAAAATGTGTGGCTTTCTGGCAATTTGTAATGGCAGATACTTCAAGAGTATCACAGATGTATAATTCCAAATTCCTGATCACATTTTGCATTACTTGGTGAGATTATAATTTGATGAGATTATTAAATATTTCCATCAGCTTTGTGAATTCATATCAAATTTGACTGACTTTGCTTCACTTAACTAAGGAACCAGATATGATAATATCCAAGTGGTTACTATACCTTACTTGAATTATGCTACCTAAAACTGATGCAAACATTTGCTCTGTACAGGTAGTCCTCATTTACCAACTGCAACTGGGACTGGCAAGTCCATCAGCAAGCACACAGTTGTAAACTGAAATGTCATGTGACTGTGCTGATTTATGATGGCAGTTCTGGCTACGGTCATTAAGCACAACATCATGTGACCATGACTTGTGACTTCCTGCTGGCTTCCCCATTGACTTTGCTTGTTGGAAGCTGGCTGTGAAGGTTGCAAATGATGAACACATGACTGCAGGATGCTGTGACAGATGCAACTTCAAGGACTGGTCATAAATCTCCTTTTTCAGTGCCCTTGTAACTTAGAATGGTCACTAAATGAATGGTCAGTAATGAGGACTACCTGTTATGCCATTGAAATATATGTTTTTAAAGTTTTTTTTAAAAAAACCCCAACCCTCAACATGGAAATAATGACCTCTCCCAGCAGCCATAAGTGAACTTATTTATTTTTTTTATTTATTAAATTTGCATGCCGACCATGTCCATAAAAATTCATTATGAAATTTTCCTTCTGAACAAGTGAAATAGACCTCTGCCCCACCTGCCCAGGGTGGTCTAAGAGTCTATCATGTAAGAGTTATTTTGTTGGAAATGACTATAGACTATAATTTGGACTAAGCATGTGTAAGGTTTACCCCGTTCGTCTCACAGAAACTCTTGTGACACGTGTGTTCAGTAAAGAAGTTTACTCAAGCATAATGTAAGTAAGTACAGACAAAGCCAGGATTGGCTTGGCA